CCCCCCCCCCCCCCCCCCCCACCTGAGGTTCTGCAGTGCAGCCGCTGTCAGCATGGTGCTGAGCAGCAGCAGTGTGAGGGCGTAGGGATATAGCAGCAGGGTGCCGGCCAGGCGCTCCAGTGTGTCGAGGGGCAGCAGGCCGAAAGCCTCCTCGCACAGATACAGACTGGCATCGAAATCCCTGCAGGAGGTGGGGGGGAGACGAGACAAATGGGAGGAATAGAGAGAAAGGGGAAGATGGAAACAAAAGAAGTGAGGTTTGTGATTAAAACTTCTGATGCTTAACATTCACTGCTGAGGTGACCCAGCAGAGTTGGGTCTATTTAAGGTTTTGTCGGTCCAGTGTACGAGCTAAAACCCGGTGGATTTAATGCATACTGGCTGAATCAGCATTTGTCATTATGACACGTTCTGGCGAGTTAGAAATTAGCCTACATACGCAACCTGTGCCGACGGTATCACGGGGTACAAATCTAGCTTGTGTCGCATCAGTAATGAGCAATATCACGACGTGATTAACATAACATTATGTTTGTTTATGAACAGACTGACGGAACTAGTAGCGCCTCACTAAAAAAATATAAATTGACTGACTTGTTATTCATAATTAAAATAATAAATCGTACACAACTCGTAAACAACTTGGTAGGAAATCTTTTAAATTAACAGAAATTACAAATCAAGTGTAAAGCTTTTTAATGCAGCAACAAATTCAAAACTTGCACAGTAATTCAAATTGCGGTGTTTAATGTATAGTATAAAAACAGACTTGATTGAACAGATCGGCCCCGTTGTTACTGACACCTGATCCAGCTTTTTGAGTCAGTATTGGCCCCATAGCCGATATCAGTGCATCCCAGCAACTTATGTGGGTTTGGTATTTAGGGAAGCCTAACAACATTCACCGGATATAGTAATGTAAAGTCATGTAAATACATGTAGTGGAGTAAAACTAATGTAGAGCAGTAGAAGAAGAAGTAGAAGTGCCTCGAAATTGTAAATGCACCCAGTAACTAGTTCATATATGATTTTCACAAGACGTCTTTGTCATGATCCAGCTAACTGCATGTTTGGCCTCAGGGTTTGTTGCTCTGACAACAACACCAGACCATGAAGCGCTGAAGAGTACCGGCTTTGTCCATCATCCACAATCAAATCAAGATACGTTATCTATCCGTGTATGAAGAACAGCAGAGCCCAGTTCCACAAACCAACTGGAGACAGCGATTAAAAAAAACAACCTTTGTGAGCTGAAGAGAAGTGTATTGTTACTGACGTGTTTCTTTCACAATGAAACACAAAAGCATACTTTTATATAGCAGGTGTTTTCTAAAGAAACTGCGTCTACTATCTCAAGAAAGCATGAATGCATAGTCTACCTTTTTTTTGTATTGTTGGGTTGTTATATTTTACAGCATTCATTTTCCGCATTACATCGGCAACGCTGCTCCTGGTTAAACAAGCCGTGCTCTAATTGATCTGAGAATTGAGATATTGCAAAACTCAAGGCGCAGAAAAAAAAAAAAAAAAAAGGCCAGAGGAGTGAAATCAGTGTTGGCGAGGCGGAGCCGGAGAGAGCGTGGAGGGAGTGCTGCATTTTCCCAGCCTCCTGAATAATTGAGGGGTGGGGGGGGGGTTGTGAGCCGCGTTATCTCCCACCACAGAGCAGCTATCAAGTGGCTGAGCAGCTCAACACACACACACACACACACACACACACACACACACACACACACACA